TAATATAATATAATATTATATTATATTATATTATATTATATTATATTATATTATATTATATTATATTATATTACATTTTCCAGTTATAGGAAGTCTGAGAACAGGCAGAATTCTATTGTAATAGGAAATAAAACAAGTTCCTATCTTGGGAACTGGGGAGGGGGGTGTGTATGGAATTGCCTAGAAATGGCTATAAGGAAAATTTCTGGGGGAGTACATATGACCAACATCTTGCTATGAGTGCCTTTTTGTAGCTACCCGGATGTATTCAATTGCCAACATGCATCAAACTGAACACATAAGATCTGTGCATTTAGTTGTCTATTATGTCTACTTCAATTAAAAATAAAATCTGTTAGAGAAGGTTATACATCTGAAGCACAGAATCGCTTTGTCTATTTTTACTGCTGACTTTTCACATTCATCCTTTATTTAGAGTCCAGTAAGAAACAGTTAATTACAATTGTTTTAATCACAGGCTTTGCAGACAGTCCTAGTTTCCACTTCTGGCTCTTATGCCTGGTTTTTATCCCAAAGTCTGTGTGACTTTTTTACCAAGGTAGTCATCTTTTCTAAGCCTCAGCTTTTTCACCTGAAAAAAATGGGGAAATAGTACTTACTTCTTACCTAAATAGTCTGGCAATATCACAATATAGTGAGCCGCATACTGATAATAGTCAGTAATCACTACAACAAACATTTCTCTAGGTTGAACAAGTATATATCATATGCATTGGCCTCAAGTGTATTTTCTATATCATGATGAATTTTGTATTCTATTTCTTACAATAAATGTGATATCTCATATAGGTGTTGACATTCAAATGGGATAAAATATAGGAAAATGTCATGTTCATTATAATCTTTTTTCTCAAAAGGTATGAACGGAGGCATTATATCACCAATGTGCTCTGAAAGTATTATTACATATGATCCTTATAGGATGCCTATGAAATGGATATTATTATTCTCATATGACAGCTGAGGAAACCAAAGCTTAGAGATATGCCATGCTCAAAGAATGATAAGTGGATAAATGGCAGAGCCCAGACTTCAACCTTATCATTAAGAATGCTGGTTCTTTCCATCTTTTCATCCTGACAGCCTCAGCAAATTGGCTCATCCTCTCATGACTACAAGATGGTTGTCTTCCATCAGGAGTTACATATTTACACAGAATCTAAAATCCAGAAGGAAGAAAGAGGGAAATTCTTTGTCCTTTTTTAATTCAACCAGTCCAGTAATGAACACAAGGATTGTTTCCACCTTTTTATCATCCTTTGAAAGGAAAAAAAAAAGTAGGAAGTAGCATATTTAGCTTTAATAAATTAGTATAGGTGTGATTTTCATATTCATGGAAAGTCATTAGACGTAGTGATTTTGATGGGTCAGTTATGTACCAGTTATAAGTGAGGTCTGTGCAAATGAATCCAAGATACAATGACAGGGAGATTCAAAAATTAAGCTGTAAACTCCATAGTGCTTTCATATACGATCAATATATAACTTTGAATATCTAATTCCTATTACTTTAATGTTAAGGAATAACGGTTCATAAATCCAAAGTCTATGGATTTTCTGTAAAACAACTGTGGGAATTAAGTCCTTGCAAACTACAGAATTAATCATTTACTGACATTTCTGGGTTTAAATTGCATTAGATTTTTTAATTTTGAAGTCAGGTTTTAGACAAGTAAAACACTACAAAAAATTGACCATCTTTTCTACTAGAATAAACTGAAATAAAAGTTATATTTATATTTGACTCAAAATCTCTTACGGTGTAATACTGTCCTTTTTGTAGGTCATACTAAAAAAAATCACACGCTAACTTGATCATTAAATATTAAGTATATATGCATTTTAAGGCATACTATAAAATTAAAACATACTTAACTCTGCAAAATCATTATTATCTACCATCTTGAAATACTAAATGGCTGTCTTAACAGAATCTAATGATTTTACTATTTCAAATAAACACAACTAAAAATGTAATTTTAATGTCAGATAAATACAGGGATTAAAAAGGGATCTATTCATGCCCATTTAAGGGTTTCTTAGCTGTCAAAATGAGCTACAGAAGAACAAATGGGAATTGCATTCTATCTTATTTCACCTTTCTGCAGAGGCATAGTATGAAATTCTTTTCTTGTAACTTCCTTGTTAAAATTACAATCTATCAGGTAGAACACCAACCCACTGGGATAATGGTAAAATTACTGTCTTGGCATTCAGACTTCATTTCCTCAAATATTTTGGAAGTTGTGACAAGCTGCTAGATGTCTTCAAACTATAAAGAAAAGCAAAATATCCTCATTTTGGCAGGCACAGGACAAGACAGCAAACAAAGTAGGGTGTGTAGCCTCGGGCAAAGATTTCTCTATAGAGATTCCAGATCTTAGAAAACCACTTATCAAAATATTTGTTCCTTTATAGTGATAGAGGAGGTTTCCAACCAAACATGTAATGGATATTTTATCAAGAAAACACATAAAAGCCATTAATAAAGTGAGAGACCGAAGGGAGAATGCTAAAATACGTATACTCCATTAACTTCCTTTTCTGGATTGACTATGGGAAACACTCCCCTGGATCTCATGAATTAACACCTCTTCTCTGTATTTTAACTTGCATGAACAATGAAGGATATAATGCACAGTTTGAGGCAAAAGGTATGAAGAAAATAGATCACATGACTGCTTGAGAAATATAGTGATGGATCATAGAACTGGCCTGGGGTGTTCAAATCCTTAGTAGAAAGCTGTTTGAGTTACTTCACCTTTTCAACCTCATCTTTCCCAGATCAAAGAAGTTAATAACAGCATCTCCTTCATGGTATATTTGTGGGATTCCATCAATTCATATACATAAGGTACTTGGAAGGAACATAGCATAATAAAATATACAAGCTAACTAACAATAAAATATTATAAATTAATGAATGGATAAAGTAATAACTGAAGTTAAGACACTATTTTATTTTATTTTATTTTTAAATATGAAATTTATTGTCAAATTGGTTTCCATACAACACCCAGTGCTCATCCCAACAGGTGCCCTCCTCAATGCCCATCGCCCACTTTCCCCTCCCTCCCACCCCCCATCAACTCTCAGTTTGTTCTCAGTTTTTTAAGAGTCTCTTGTGTTTTGGCTCCCTCTCTCTCTGACCTTTTTTTTTTTTTCTTCCCCTCCCCCATGATCTTCTGTTAAGTTTCTCAGGATTTACATAAGAGTGAAAACATATGGTATCTGTCTTTCTCTGTATGACTTATTTCACTTAGCATAACACTCTCCAGTTCCATCCATGTTGCTACAAAAGGCCGTATTTCATTCTTTCTCATTGCCAAGTAGTATTCCATTGTATATATAAACCAAAAATTCTTTATCCGCTCATCAGTTGATGGACATTTCAGCTCTTCCCATAACATACCAAACAAACAAGCAAACAAACAAACCAAAAACCCCAAAACCCAAAGTACAAAAAACAAAAACAAAAAACCCAAAGCTATTACTCCTTTTTTCTTAAGTAATGTCTATCTAATTAGGAAGCTTAGGAGTATCTGCAGTATTGTCTCAGCTTCACCTAGCATCTGTTGCCTTGATTTTACTTCGATGAATTGCCCCTCTCAGACAGTCTCATTCCAAATAATTCAGGTGGGATATTTCCTACTTATCTTTGTTCTTTCAAAGAACATACCGGACCAAAATAAATCAATTTCAGACATGGTACCCATTAGTAAGAAAATGATTGCTTCTTCCATGCAGGAATTAAAAAGCATTAAAAACATAAGAATAGACTCAAAAAAGCTAGGGGTGGGGCATGGAGACAGTGTAGACGGATAATAATGACACAAAGGAAATCCAACTGAGTTCAACATCAGGGCTTATCTGTTCACAAATACCATGGTTTTCCTTTCTTCTCAGGTACAGAGGGGGACTTCACCGCCCCCCCCCCCCCTTGATTATGGGCATGGCCATCTGACTGGTTTTGGTCAATGAGATATGAACAGAAGTGACTCGTATCTCCTCCAGGCAGAAGCTTGAAGACAACGGCATAATTTGCCATGTTCCTTTTTCTGTATCATTTGCAAAAGAGAGGCACATGTCACAACTGTGCTTTTGTCAACCTGGGCCCCTGAGTAACTCCAAGGAACATATTCCACCTGCCACTTACACAGGATATGTAGCATGAACAGGAAATATGCTTTAATTGTATTAAGCTATAGTGATTTTGAGGAGTTGGTCTGTCTGACAGATACATGAGCCAAAAGAGAAGGAAAGAGGGAAATACAGGCAGACAGCTAGCCAATGACTATCACTAAATCGTGGATCTCACTCTGCCTAGTAGCATCTGTCCTGGACTTTTCGATATAGAGCACCAATGCATTTAGAGGGAGCCAAGGATAGAGGCTTGAGTGAATCTGAGATGGGTATCTGACATTTGGAAGCCAAACTCGGCCTTCTAATACAGGAAGAAGCTATATGTGTATGTAGAAGATAAACATATACAACTATAATACAGATGCTAAATTACCATGGGATGCTTTGAAGCAGGTGAGGGATCACAGTGTAAGTTTTAGGCATAGACTTGATTCTCAGAAGCAAACAGATGAGAGCACAGACTTTCCCTAGGAGGAGAAGGGCACACAGGGGTAAAAGCGATAGCACAAAGGCAGTGATAACTACAGGACTTAGAGCAGTGGATTTTGGAGCGATTACCTGTCCTACTATGTAGACACTTTGGGAAACATTTGGGGGCATTTTAATTTGCTCATTGGAGAGAACCAGGGTCTTTAGAGGGCAGAGGATATGGAGGCTAGATGTCCTGCAAAGCGATCCCCATGTGGCTTTCAAACAAGAAGATAAGAGAAAAACCTATTCATCATTATCCAAGCTTCAAAAGAGTTGTTTGTGCAGTCTTAATAAAGAAGAATGCAACTCCTACACAAATTAAAGAAAAACTGAATTTGAATTGTTCAGATGTCACCCAAAGTTGTCCCCCACGTCAGAAAATCACATCACCAGTGGCATCACCCCTAACAGGAATCTGGTCGACAACCTGACTCACTGATGATTGGTCTGCAACTGGAGCCACAATGTTCACATTGATTCTATGAATATATTCACATATACACACTTAGCTCTCATTTTAAATATTAAAGGTGAAGAAAAGTGACTGTAATGTTTAGTTGACTAATGTCTTGTTTCTCTTCAATCCAAGCTTAATTACTACAGGTGTACAGGCAAGAGCAGGTAACCACATCATATTCTCTAGGATGGTCCCAGGCAAGCATTTATTTGTAGATTAAAACAACAGATTATATTATGACTTGATTTTCTTATATTCCTCCTTTTATTACACTTAGGGCCTCAGGTTGGCTCTCCTGAAATCATGTAATTCTGTTGTATTACCTATGAATTTCACATCAGTGTATCAACTAATATTGCGAAATATTAGTTACACCCAAGCTGCTGAGAACCACTGACTGAAAGAATCATACTATTGTCAAAATGTAGAAACCCTTGAATGCCAGGTTAAGAGCTGTTGTTTGCTTTGTTTTGTTTGTTTGTTTTTACATCTTTGCACAAACAGCAAGAAGGTATTATAGTTATGCAGTGATCACGTGATGTAGAGATGGTGGTCATTCAAAGATAATGAATATGATACCATGTGGGGTGATCGAAGAGAAGAGAAAACAGGGAGGCAGCAGGTGTGGTGGTGGTGGTGTGATAAAGACCTGAACTGGGGGAAGAGCTGGGCACATGCATCTGAGAAACAATGCAAAGAAGACTCCAGCATGATAGATAAGTGATGGCGTTTGGGAGGTGAGGGAAGAATCAATGGTCACTCATAGGGGTCTGGTTTCCCTGACAGGGAAGATAGATGGTCCTGAGACAGAAATAGGGAACTTGAGAGAAGAAGCCACATCTGGGGAGAAAGAGGAGTTCAAGTTCAGACACATTCCAGTTTAGATCAGCAGCAAGACATTCAGATGAAAATGGTGGACAGCGATATGGCACTATTTGGGACTCAGCACAGGAAAAATCCAAGGCTGACAATAGCAATCGAGACAGGAGTTAAGAGTTACAGAGAAGATGCACTCTCTGATGGGAGAAAGAGGGGAAACAGAAAAGGCAGTGCAGAGCTGAAGCTCAGGAAACATCTACAATTGAGTAAGGGGAGAAGGATAAAAGTCCATCAGAGCAGCGCTTGGAGACCCAAAAGTTCAGCGGTAGGAAAGTAAAAACAGGTAAAGTGCGGGTGAGGAGAAGTAGCGAACAGCACTGAGAGCTTAAAACAACAAGGACAGAGACACAAGCACTGGCTTTGCCAGAAATAAGATGCTTGTGATACCAGGAATGCCACTTCCATAGCGGTGAGAGCAGAAGGCAGACAGGAAAGCAATGAAAAACCAAGAGGAGCACGTGCAGGTCGCCTGTTCTAGAAGCTCAGTGGTGTAAGGGAGGGCAACAGGAAGAAACCTCAAGTACTGTTTACTGATTTCCATTTAGACTGTGAAAAGATACGCTGATTCACACAGACAGGGATTTTACTCTGGAATTGAGAATCAGGGGAAAACACATCTACTCCAAAATGTTACTGGGCAAGAGAAAACCAAAATGAAACTTACATTATATATATATATACACATATATATATATACACACACACACACACTCATTATACATATATTATGTTATGTTACATTATACATATACATTATATATGTATAATATATATGTATACATATACACTTATAACACATATTATATATTGTATGTATATATA